AAATACTTCAAAAATTGTAGAAGTCTGACAATTTCGAATTATTGTACTTCAGATACATGAATGTATCTAAAAATAAGAACATCATTACATAACACACCTTTGAAGTCAACTGAATAAATATGACAGCTAGTTTATATAAAGTTTTCTAGCAAAAAATGTAAAATGCATAAGCTATAATGAATCAAAATATATTTTACTTTAGACTTAGGCTGCTGAACTGGTTTAGTTTCATTAATGAAAAGGTATCTAATAGAACTGTACCACCTTTCACCTGATACCTTAATTCACTCACTTTAGGAGATCCGCCAAATAACTTAGAAGAAAAAGGCCCAGATATAGTCTTGAGGTGTTGTTGTTATGGAAACCGTTGCCCAGCTGACTACAGTTCCTTGGAGAAAGATTTCTGTATGAATGCTTTTGTTTAGCATAAATGAATTCTATTTCTCTCCAGTAGAAGCAGAGAAGTATAGCCAGCATGGAATGATACAGACCTATTTCTTATTTTGCCTTAGTGACATTCCTATAAGCCATCACATCTGACCCAGAAAAATACATAGCCATGACTACATGCCTACTACATTTGAAAAACCTTCTTTGTTGTACGCACACACAAAAAAAGATTATTCAAAGAGTGAATGTATATTTAGTCTGTTATACAAAGAGGAAAAGCTACCTACTTTAATTGAAGTGAATTTGTATTTAACCTTCTCAATGGAAAATGCACATTTAAATGCTATGTTTGCTGAATAAACTAAACCTAAAGGACATGAAAATGCAGGTGTTGTTAGTTAAATCTATAAACAGACCTCACAGATGTGTGCACTTCAATTTCTGAGCTATAATAAATGAGGTGGCAAAGTTTGTTCTTCTGTATTTCCTTGTATCAAATACATTGAAAAAAATCTCATTTATATCCTAGTCTTTTGAGATCAGCCTCTTAGTGCCAAGGCATGGCAAGGAGAAAGGTAAAAAGAGTACAAGTCACATATTTGGAAAGCCAGAGTGAGACATTCTCCAGTTTCAGGATAAAGGCTAAAAAACATTATTATTTTTAATACTATTTTCCAACACTCTCTGCTACCACCTTTAATTCATATAATGTTTGCAATTTGTATCTCATTACACTTGAGAGATGGCAAGAAAGATCTATGCCTCCCCTTCAAGACAAAAAACCTCTTCCTTCTGACACACAGTATTTTGCATTAAAGAATAGAAAAGGTCAAATTTATTTCCTGATCACTAGACTAATACTAAACTAAATAGCAACAAAACTAGCTGAGATGTATGCACATTTCCTGAACTATGATAACTCTTCTTTACCTACATTAACAGGCACATAGTTGAGTTCCTTCCTAGAAGCCCTTTAAACCTCCGGATCAACAACTGCCCTGTCCTATTAACCACATCCAAGATATTCTATCTTAATAAGATATATTCAGAATGTCAGTCATCAACAACTCCACAAAAAATATCACTGAAAGATGAAAACTGTATGAGCAGCCGCAGATACTGAAACCACAGTATTCCTGGGATTCCCTGTATTTCCTTCCTGGACTTTAAAAGAAAGATGAGATTTCAACCACTGGCTCCACATGTATTTTGCCATCATCTCAATCAAAAATGTGATTGGATCATTTACAGAATGGAGGAGCAAACAGATGCCTGATCCTCTTTAGCAATCCATGTTAATATGTGCATAATACCTGTAGTACGTTTACTACAGATACCAGGACTGAGTGATGCAGGATCTGAAGGCTCCAGAGTTGTTATTCTCAGTAGTCTTCTGCTGATTATAAGTGTTTTTTCATTATCTAGCTTGACAAAACTAATTGAGGCTTGCATGCACTACCCTTCAACAAAATTGTTCTGTTCTATCAAGTCAATATATTTTTAAGAGGGAAGGAAGGAGTGAGGGCTTAAAAAAAATTCTGTTACTCCTTTATATTGCAATACTGATGTGGAGAAGAATTAGTTAGATTATACAAATAAACATCAAAAACAAATTAAGTGGTCACACAATTTCATTATTTACCTTTCTTATTGTAAAAAAAAAGCAATCCTATTATATATAAAATCAGTAATCTTACATATAAATAAAAAGTCTTGAGACTGAACCCAGGAGCCAGCTTGAAAGCAGCAAGAAATTACTGCGTGAGATGGCGGAAAAGTGCACGCAACTCCTCTGGAAATCAACTCGGTTCACCTGTAGAACAAGGATGCCAGACTTAGCTTGGTTTCCTGGTGACTCAGCACCCACCAGTCCTCTGCTGGTGGACAGCACAGTCCAGTCTTTCAAGGAGCTTTACCTGAAAACATTACATTTCCTATCTACAGCACAGCTCCTCATAAAACTCAGGGGATGGCTGAAGCTCTGCCTATGCACGATCCATCCCCGTTTCCCTTCTCTGAGCTGGCAGGGCACGAGGGCCTCCTGAGGCGCAGGCGTCCGCACTCCAGTTTCCCTGCGCTTGCTTTTCCCACTTGCGGTAAGCAAAGCTGCTTACCTCAGCGTGTTCTTTGGGCCTCTGCAAGGGACTCTCCAGCTTAGCTACAGCATGGCAAGGAAGGGAATCTTCCAAAGCTCTGCCTAGGTCAGAGTTTTACTGCCACTCCGGCTGAAACAAAGTGTCCTGCATCTTTATCATTCTGCCCTGCAGCTGGCCTGATCAGGCTGACAGCTGGTAGCGCCTGCACAGTGCACTTGTGCTGCATCACAGCTTTTCCTTTCCAGTGCTGTTTTCCCTTTTATTTCTATTTGCCCCCAACAGAAAAAAGCTGAAGCACAGGAGCAGCTCGTTCCAGCTGCACAGAAGCTGTACCTTTCCATGTCGCTGAATTTCAGCTGGTGGTTTAAAATGATCAAATGGCCTATTTGTTGTAATTAGACTGGGGAGGGGGGCACTCTTTATGCCACTTTACAAAATATTGTTTCTGGAATGATCAAATTGGCCTTCCTGGAAAGGTTATGACTTTCTGTAAAGGACAAGAGGCCAATAAATACAGAAGAAAATTCATTTAGGACTCAGCAAAAGCAGAACTGCTGATTAAATATTTTTAAAGAAGTGTCTGTTCTCAATCCAAATTTTAGTGGTCACTGTTATTATTACCCGAAGTGCTTATTAGCACACATTTCACCCAAAAAGATCTATACAGAATAAATTAAATTATGGTTGCACAGCACAGCCAATAGTCAAAACCAGTGTTATATCATGCCTCAAGTGAGTATACCAGAGGATACACTACTTTTCACCAAAGCAAAGTCATCCAAGAGAGGGCAAACAAAATACCTAAGTCACAAGGCTGGCAGTTTTCATGTGACCTTTTAAAAAAATGGTGAGTTTTGAAAAGTTTTCTAAGTTTTTGCCAGGGCTATAACCCACATTTTCCAGGAAGGTTTTGAGAATTGGGAATAATTTCTACCAATAGCACTTTCTCTTCACAGATCACAACTGGGCTCCAGAGCACAGGTAAGGAAAGTGCCATAAAGACCAGCTCAGGCCAAACAAGAGATTCTGGTACTATTTTGAGGACTTGCCACTGTGGATGTACATCTTAACCACAGAATCACAGGAGGGTTTGGGTTGGAAGGAACATTCAGGATCAAGCAGTTCCGACCTCCTGCCATGGGCAAGGACACCTTCCACTAGACCATTATTATTTTAGTAATATTAAAATAAATACATAAATAAAACCATAATTATAATTTTGTTTTTAAATATCCAGCCTCAAATAACAACAACAATAATGATGATGATGATGATGATGATGATTATGATGATGATGTTTTAAAATCCCCAGCCTCAAACCTCAGCACTGCCTGTCTTCAGAAACACAGATATGTTTTACACCACCGATTGCAATGGCCTAAAAACATGATTTCATCAAGTGACTGGCTGTCTTCTGATGTTAATCTCTCGTATTTCACACAGAATGTAATGTTTTGACAGCTGTAATAAAAACCCAGGCAGCATTTTTAAACATGGCATTTAAGACTGCATCAAGTATATTTTCCCTGCATGGGCGACAACAGCCTAAGTGCAAGAAGCATGGAGGGACCCAGTTAATATTTTTCCATGGGTACACATCTTATTAACTCCATTGTGCCCACCACCACCTTAACCACCTCTTCCTCTTAAGCCTCTCTCCCATCTCCACACTTTCCCTTCATCATTATCTTTTTTCATGTCATTTCTCCCTAGTAAAATTATCCACACTGTTTTTTTTAATACTAGTTAAAGATCATTCTTAGTTTTTGCATCAAGAATCAGTTAAGTTTTGAAAAGGTAATTAAGAACTAAAACAGATCCAATTAAAACATTACTAACTCTAGATGAAGTTTATCTACACTGACCTATGTCAGATATCATCTAGTCTCCCTTTGTAATTATTCCTACACTTTTTTATCAGTTAGAAAATTAGGATCCTCTTATCCTAACACTTTGCCAACAAAACTAAGGAATAGAATTAATTATTTATCAACTAATAACTGTTATCAGTTAAATAACCTTAACAAGCTATCACAGAAAGGATTTCTACTCTGAAATCTTCTACTCTGAGAAAGAAAGGATTCTTTTCTCTTAGAGAAAAGGATTTTCTCTAACTGGATAGAGAAAAAGGAATTACTCGCACTTAGCGACGTTAACCAATTATTCTGATTACATCTTTTAATATTTTCATCTTCATGCCCATATATTCAATTTTTCATATTTCAATTGATTCATTTGAAACAAGAAACTAAATATCAGACTTCCTTCTGTTTTCAAGTCTCAGTACATTTCTGAACTCTGAATGAGTTAAACATTGAAATGAAAAATCACTGCATAAACTTGACACAAAAACACATCTCCCAGTGACCTTTATAAAAAACTAAGTTCATTTTCCAACACACTCACTTATGATTAATTTTAGCAATTCAGCTCATTAAATCTTGGACAGCAATAAATACATACTAATACATTAATCATATTTAGAAATAAGTGTTTATTTGACAGTCTAAAATAAGTGAGAGACACATTAAGCAAAGCTGAACAACTTTTGGTATTTTTTAGTTTTGAAAAGAGGATCTTAAATAAACTATTTCAAATGGACAGGACCTACAACAACCATCTAGTCCAACTGCCTGACCACTTCAGGGCTGTACAAAAATTAAATTAAAGGCATTTTCCAAATGCCTCTTAAGCCCTGACCAACCTGAGGCAGCGACCACCTCTCTGAAAAGCCACTGCAGTTGCTTAAGCTTTATATTGAAAAGCAGATGAACTAAAATGAACAGATTCATTTTCACAAGGAATTCCTGGTAAAAAAACTGGGAAGGAACAGCTTATTCCCATCAAAGAATCACTTACCTCTAACAGTCTCTATCAGCTTGGGTCTGGGCGGTTTAGATTTGGGAGAGGGAGAGTTAAATCTCAGGTAAGGTCCTTTTTTAAGCGTGCTCCGGTGGCCCTGGTAAATTGGTTTTCCATAAACTAGAGACAGATAATCTTCATATTGGGTCAGTGAAATTCCACCTACAGCTCCCTGATGGACACCAAAAAGGAAAAAAAAAAGTCGTTTACAATTCTTCATTTATGTAAATTGGAGCAGGACAAAGCTATCACTTTCATTTTGAATTAGTACACCCGCACACACCATTTTTCATGTCCATACTGAACAGTTTTTTCCCAGAAAATAAACCAACTACTTGGCAACTCACATCTGCCCTTCTTTCTTTGCTCTTCACATTTTCAGAAAAGTAAGTTCTAAACTTCTGTTTCCTTGTGTTATCTTCTGCTTCCTTCTGCAATGGCTTAGCTGCAAGTAAAAGCTTTTTTGTCAAGCACCCTTGGTTGTTTTGAGTTTTCTCTTTAGTTTCTTTCTTGGTCTTCGCAGCTCTGAGGTTTTGGGCTCTCTTGGTACATTTTTGATCATGTTTCCCTTGTTCTGAATAATTTCTTGCCATTTCAGCCTAAATAGAAAACATAAATGTAATAAATAAATGGAGATTTTTGTCTTCAAGGTTATCAGCAATGAATGGGTAACTTTGAAGCTCTGAGAAAGGGCCTGTTTTTCATGTTAGCCAGCAAGTGAGACCAGGGGTTTTCATTACATAACTACAGTTTTAAAACAGAGGTAAATATTTTATTTTTAATTTATTTATTATTTTAATTTTTTTTTATATTTATTTTACTATAGCTTACTGCATGCTAGCAATAATAGGCAGCTTTCTCATGTTTTCAGGAGGTGAGTAAATCACTTTACTGTGGACATGAAAGAACAAGGTCAAGGCGGAAAAACCCAACACAAAAATCTGAACTCATTTTTCCAGCCCTACCTGGATTTCCTCACTGATTTCCTTGATCCTCTCATGCACAGTCCTTCGGATACGAATCTCTTCCAGGACATCTCTGAAACAGAAGAAAGAACCATTTTAGGTCAATGCTTCTCAAATTGCACAGATTTGTTCCTGGGAAAGTAGTGACCTTTAAATGCTCTAAAAACAGAAGCCCAGAACACAGACAGTGAGACTCTGCACCTCTGCACTCCCCAAAACGCACCAAAGCTCATCGAGAGTCCCAATCCCAAATCTGCTCCTGCATGGTGCCACCTGCAAACCCCACTCCCTGCTGGTAAATCCTGACAGCATTACAAATATTTTAAGAATAAGAGGCAGCCATGTGTCACCTCCTACTTTGATCACAACTGAAAAAACAAGAAAACAAAAATATTCCAACTTAACAAAAAAGCAGATGACAAATTATTACATCCTCTAAAAGATAATGAGGGCAGGTAACATGCCTCAAAAAAAAAAACCCTTATGCATACAGAATAGCTACCTTCCTCAGGAAAATGCAAATTTATATTGTATTTTTTAATAGAAAATTTTCATTATGATTCAAGCAGGAGTATTTAACACAACTAACAAAGCAAAAGTTCAACAGCCAAAGATCTGTTGCAAGATGATTAAATTCTGTACATTTACAGGCTTATGAAGCCTCTTCTGCTCTGAATAATTAAATTAGGGTTCAATTTTCTTTTAAATGCATGTTGGTATGGAAACAGTTAAACGCCCTGGCAGCAGAGCAGTTTGTCCAGCTCTTAAAACCTAAGAAATCAGATTTAGGCACCTGACAAAAATCAGTTCATACCATGAGGGTCGAAAAAATCTGAATTTCAAGAATCAGACAACGATTGCTAGCAAGAGTCAATAAATGCTTTTTGCAGGGAAGAACACAAGTTCTTCAATGCCCAGATTTGGAAACATCAATCTCAGAAAGCACTGAATTGTAGACTCTGACCTGTTTTAGTCAAGGAGTTACTGAAAGCATACATGGCATCTCCATCTTTTGCATGACTAACAGCTTCCAGATTCTCCTCAAGGACTTTTTTATTGTTTTGCACTCCTCTCAAAATCCTTTCAGCATCTTTCAGCATCACCTTGGCACTTGGATATTTTGAAGGATGGATGGTTTGCTGACTAGATGATGTTCAGGAGGATCAGCTGCAACAGGAGGATTTTTTGCCTAAAATTGAAAGAGAACCTCTAGCTTTTAATCAGAGATTGTAATTTCCTATTAATCTATTATCACATCAATGCCATCATATGAAATACTGCCCATGTGCACTATCAGCAACTTAATTACTCAAGAATGTTCATTATGCTGCAAATATATTTAGAGAAGTGAAAGACATCCAAAAGATCTCAAATGGAAAATGATGTCAAGTATGAGAGGCAATGCTAATGAGGCTAATAAGCATGTGAAAAGATGGCAATTAGAGACATGAACTATCACAAGCAAATCTCTCCATGTAACAGTAATTAAATATAATTAAGAGCCTAATAAAAGCCCAAGTCCTCTAAATATATGCACTTGTTTGGCATCAATCTACCCCCAAGAAACACCAAGCAAAACTTGTAAGTTTTAACAGGGTACATCCCTCAGCAGTCCCTTGATCCTTTTTTACTTTTACTCATTTTCACTTTTCAGAAGGAACAATGAAACCTCTCACTTTGCAGAACCCTTTTACAGAGATAAAAATCGAGCATAAATTAGCTGCTAAGTACAAAAGAAAGGGACACAAACACAGGAAACAAGTTCTTACATTCATTCTCACACTCCTGAGAAAAAACCCAGAGGCCCATGAAAGCTTCATCAAACAGTAAAAAAATTCAAAGTGATAAATGTACATTAAAAAAAAAAAAAAAAAACAACAAAAAACACCTCAAACCAAAACCAAAATGCCCAGATGTGAGTAGACTCTGAAAACATCAACTGAAAGAACAGGAAAAAAAATCACACAGATCACAACTTAGTTTTGGCTTTAAGGTTACTTTTTTGTCAAATCATAATTAAACAAAAGTTTATGTTCAAGGCAATATACCAAGTTATTTATCAATTTTATATAGGCTTTCATTTTAAAATGAAACTTATTGACAAATACTAACTCAGTAAGACAGGTAAAATCTGTGAGAAAAGGTAAGAAACACAGATATATAATTATAAATAAAAGTGGTGTGGACTTGCTAGTGAGACCCAGATCATGAAATGGTACCTGGATCTGTTACATATGTAAAAAATGCTGGTAGCAGCAGCCCAAACTGTGCCAATCTGACACAGCAGCTTCCTGCCTGACATTATCTCCTGCAGGGATTTCCTAGGACATAACCAGACAGGAGTAATGTGATCTCTCCAAGAGCAATCCTTTAACAAACATCCAGGTGTGCCACAGGCAGGCCCTGAGATTTCATGGCAAACAAACCCAAAACTGCTTCAGCATTTGAGTATTTTATAGAAAGCTCAAAACCCCACAAAAGAAACACACATAAAAAAATCAAGGTATACCTTAATAAGATCATTCATGTCAGATTTCCATGTAGTTGCTTCCTAAAAAGACAGAAGAAGAGCTATTGAAACTTTAAGGTAAAATCCATAGGAGACATTGGATCAGTTCCTCTGGCCACAATGAATTCCTTGGCTTAGAGCACCACCTTCTGTCTCAGCTCATTCACACCTTTGCTTTATTACAGAGCTGGTTTATAATTTACCCAAAAATGTATCATTATCTTACTTTCAAACCTCTCAGTGATGAGGAGTCAGTAGCTAAGTGTTTAATTGACCCAACTCTCCATTTGTTAAGTCATCACATCTCTGTCTTTCTACTGGCCTTTTTCATAAGAGAGATTTCAAATAATTTCTGTAACTGTGTCTCCCATTCCTTATCCCATCTCATCTTGCTCTGTTGCCTGTACTAAGTATGTGGTAAGAAAATATTTGCAACCTTAGTGAGGCACAAGGAACCATTCCTAGTAAGAATAGTTAAATGTAAAATCCACAAAGTGTTATAAAATCTATAAAAAATACATCAGCTATGCTATATGACAGATGAGGCTGACTTTTCTACAGATACAGCAACAAAAACCAGACAGGTAATACAAAATATTTTTTTAGGGAAATATGCAAGTTGAAACTTCCAACCACAGAAATGAACCAGCAGAATCAAAGTTATTACATTTCAAGCCAATTCACAGAGGTGAATTTTCAAGCTTTTCTCCTTTCTCACTGTGTATATCGACAAGGACAGAAAGGACCACAGCACACAGGTGGAGCCAGGAATGGCACCAGGGTAATAGATAAAAGCCTCAGTTGTCACAAGCTCAGAAGCAGATCTTGCACCCTCAAAGGAACAAAATCAGTAGCACAAGAAACAGCACAAGGATTCTGTGCCAGGTACTTCCTTGGAAACAGCACTCAATACAAAAAAAAAAGAGGCAAAATGAGAAAGGAAATGCTTAAATCAGCCCTAAAGCTGACTGGAGATAAATGGAACATTTTTTTTTTTCGCAAATGGGAAAATTATTTCAGCTCTGTAGTTCTGCAGAGAACAGGGACTGAAAATATCCAAAACCTTAAAACAAACAAATAAACTTTTTTTTCTTTCTCTTTCTGTCCTTCCCTGTCTCTCACCTATTTTATGTCTGGGACAATGGCAGTCAGAGTCCATTGCACACCCAGAGCTTTATTCAGACTCCAAACTCTTCCACACACAGAGACTCCAATATTTCAATTAATTGTAAACAGATGTGGATAATTTTACAGGTATAGAAGCAAGAGCAACACTAGTAATATCAGACCTGTGCGTTTTTCTCCACATTTTTATTCCCCTTCTTCAAACCCCACCTCATTGTGATTAGACCGACTTTACCTGCAGAATGTTGTGCATTTCTCTTCTCAACTTGCCAAGACCTTGAAGTAAATGATCTGCTTTTTGCACTGTTTTCTCAATTGAACTGTAGCTTTCAAAAGAAGAAATTGCATCTGGAGGCAAAGCTTTGTGTCTGAGGGGAGAAACACTCCTGGTTATGCCTCTCGTGGCTCCTGAGGTGCCCCAAGAAAGGATTCAACTGTGAAACCAAGCAGGAATTTACAGTGCAAGTACCAAAGCTTTAGATAAACTGGAACTTGCTTTGGCATCTGAAGTAATAGAGAGGTTATTGGGTTTTCTGTGTTTACCACTTAACACCTTCAGCCCAATCCTTTTTATTTTCAATAGTGAAATTACATCTAATAGAGCAACATTTAAACTCTGGATATCTTTCCATTTGAAGCAATTAAGATCTTTCTGCACACTGTTCTAAATTAGACAGCATATATGAGAAGTTTCTCACTGTATTAATGAAATTATAACTTTAAATTATTGCCTGGGGAAAATATGTTTCGGAGTGCATGGCTAAGAACATTTTTTCACCCATTTTAAATCTTAGGGATTGTTAGGTGGCTGCTGCTCCTGTAAAACACTCCAAATGCAACTTGCTGACCTCTGAGAAAGGTGTTGTGAGCTATCCTTAGCGAAAAGGATAGACTTCATCTGCCTGCAATTCAACAGAACCACAGAATCCTGGAATATTAGAGCTGTAAGGGACCCAAAGGATCAGAGTCCAACTCCTGGCCCTGCACAGACACCCCAACAATGCCACCCTGTCCCTGAGAGTATTGTCCAAACTCTCTGAACTCTGTCAAGCCTGGGGCTGTGCCCATTCCCTGGGAAGCCTGGGCAGTGCCCAGCACCTCTGGGGGAAAAAACCTTTTCCTGATATCCAACCTAAACCTGCCCTGGCACAGCTCCACCTGTTCCCTTGGGTCCTGCCAAAAGTAATGCCAACAGAAATACTCCTGCACAGCTGTGCCGGGCTGCAGGGCCACACCAGTGACTGTAACAGCATCAGTGTCTAATGCACCTCTCCCAGTTTCATGGAAACACAAACTTCTCCTCAGTTTTGGATTGTTGTGTTTATCCACCTGTGTCTCTCAGAATGCCAGCTCCTTTCATTGCTGTTTAATGCTGCCTTCTTGGAATATTCTACTTGCTTCAGTGGTGTTTCTTGAGAATTCAAAACGTGTTCCAGACCTTTCCCTTCACCTACAATGAAGTGAAGTGAAGCAGAAAAAAAAAGAAAGGTAAGTTAGTTCAATATATTTATTATTTTCTTTTCCTTTCCAGGTATTTCAATATACTCACCAAGAAAAGTCAAATATTTTTAAAATTTAAATATACAGACTTGTTTCAGATAAGGCAAGTCACTTAAAACCACACACACTAATATGTCTTTCTGAGATTGCTTTAAATTAGCAAAGCTAGATGGAACTGGGATAGCAATGAACTGAGTCATTGAGTACAAATCTGTGACATTATGGACAGCATGCTTCTTCTTTTGTCTTATTTCATTTATTCCTGGACCCACTGAACAATAGGAATACCTGACAGCTTTGTAACAGAGATAGAAACTGATCAGAAGCAGTAAAAGAAAATTACTTTACATTTGTTTTACATCTGCTGCTTTCAATATAATAACCCAGAGACCTTGTGGACCCATGAAAAAATAAAATAAAAATTCAATTTAACCAATGATAATGACAAAGTTTTGTGTCACCTCCTACTTTAGTTCCCAAGTTTTACATTACTCTGTTAAATCTTCCTGAAACTTGACTTTGAAAAAATATTTCAGTGAGTAGTCCTGTTGAAACTCTAGAGATTAAATCAGCACTGTCTTTAAGTTTTAATTACTTATGAGTAAGTGACTTATACACAAAACTAACCTTCCCAAATGTAGATTCCAAATATTCTGAATAGATGCATTTAAGTGCCAGCAACCCAAGGGAAAAGGTCAGAAAAGGTGAGGAATACACAAAGTAACCATCAGGCCATACTAGTTAAGCCAGTGGAGGGCAATACCTTCTCTTGTAGGTTTGGAAATATTTTCTTTTTCTACTACAGAGTTTTCTTTCTCTGAGATTTTCCCATTTTTGGGTACAGGTTCTGGAGCATATCTTCGAGGAACTGGTGTCTTTAGAGGAGATTTTTGTGTATGAACCCCATGACTTGGAAAATTGCTTGAATATGCTTCAGGGAACACTGAAAAAATAAAGTTATTTAAATGTTGACAATTTTCTTCAAGGGAAATTATATCACAGAATCACAGAATGGTTTGGGCTGGAAGGCACTTTAAAGATCATTCAGTTCCAACCCCTTGGCATGGGCACTGACACCTCCCACTATCCCAGGTTGCTCCAAGCCCTGTCCAACCTGGCCTGGAACACTTCCAGGGATGGGGTACCCGCAGCATCTCTGAGCAACCTGTGCCAGGGCCTCACCACCCTCACAAGAATTTCTTCCTGACATCTAATCTAAACCTACATTCCTTCAGTTTGGAATCAATCCCCCTTGTCCTATCACTACCTGCCCTTGCAGACTCTAGGAAAAAAAAAAATCTAGGGAAAAAACCCCATGCCAGGTCTATAAATTCTGCACAAAAATGCAAAGCATTTTTGCACTAGTTAAGTAAACAGGAAGAAAATTTCATACTTCTGACTGCTATCATAAGGGGATTTTAAAAAACCCAAAACCCCACTGTAGTTCATCACAGCCTTCCACACAGATTACGTCTCAATAAGATTATTTTAAATCCAGGCCCCTCCTTATGCAGATTCAGTAAATCAAAAGTCTCACTTTAAATTAAACTGGAAGATACTGGAACATCTTCAGAATGTCACAAAAATTATAAAGAGCCTTGGCCAATAAAACAAATTACACAGAAGAAATATTTACTACTCATTACTGATGTGATGCACAATCCAATATTAATGGACACCAAATGAATGCAAAACAAAGAGTGAAAAGAAAAATTTGTCCCCACCTTGGGCAGGTGCAGCAGTGGCAGGGAATAAACCCCTGTGAGATGAAGGTGCTTCGTTAGTGAGTGATCTCTGCCCTGGCTTCTCCCAGTGCCCTGCCAGGGGCCCAGGGACAGGCACAGGACACAGCTGCAGCCCATGGCTGTTCACTGCAGAGCTGATGAGATGGGACTGGGAGACAAAAGTACAGAATATTCCTGGTCATTGAATCACAGAATTGTTAAAGATGAAAAGACCTTTAAGATCACTGAGTCCTTTGCTCTCCTATCTGGATAAGTTCATCATCCTTGACATGCTTGGAGACAGAAGGCTTCCTTGTCTGAAGTCTTGGCATTCCTGGTCCTTTCCAGTATTTGTCTTTTTGCAAGAAGCTTTAAAGATATTTGTTTTTCTTTCCTATGCCTTTTTGTGCAGAGGTTTCTTAAAATTCAACACATGATTCTACAAATATGATACATTCATTTTTGATATATTAATTTTTGATACATTCATTTTTGATACATTCATTTTGTTAGCGCAAGTGATCTCTGGAAAATCTTTCGTTTCAATCTAACTAGCTCAATAACCAGTTAGCCACTTACCTACTTAACAGCTCTCAGAACAAAATTGCATTCAATTAAGTTATGATATCAAAGTTAATCATAGTCAAAGGCTTCAGCTACTTTTCACATTACACAGGAAATCATGTGCTTTAGTACTGTTAAAATCTGCTTGAAGCTGCTACTTTGGATTTAGCATGTGTCCAATTTATCTGATGCATACTGTATATATTCGATAGCCAATAAAAATAAAAGGCACGTATGAAATAAAAGGTACGTATGAAAGATGCATTGAATCAGTTATATATCACTAATACTTTCTGAAAGACTAAATGTGGTCTGCATTAATTCTGAAGTTCATCAGCTGCCTACATTTTTCTAGTCTTAAAATGTAAAATTGTACTGCTTTCAAAAGTAAGAACCTTCCTTAAACTGCTAAGTAAAAAGTTGTTTGCAACATATTACTTCAAACAAGAAGTGTTTCTCAAATATTTTACAAAACTTAGTGAAAATATTCTCTTCTTGCAAAATTTCACATTCCTGTACAGACCCAAGCCAATTGTGCTTAAGCAATCATAATTACTCACACTATTACTGTGTTCTTCTACACTACAAAGTACATATTATTTAATGTCAGTAACTTCATTTTATAAGCTAAATTAAAAGCTTAAGACTTTCCATTAGGAATCTGACAGTATTTCAGAGATTAAAATGTGTGAAAATACCACAAATACATGAAATTGCACTCCTATACAGCATGTAAACATAGTAAAATATCATAATCATGACAGTTACATTTTTCCACTCTAATCTTTTTCTGAAGATTTGCATGTGTACCAGGTAACTGGGCTGGGCTTGGTGTATCCCTGTAGGGCCCCAGGAGCTCTGCTCCCAGTCAGCTGAATGTTGGCACAAGGGTACCAGCCCTGGGCAGGAGCCAGTACAGGGCCCCTCCTGCAGGAGAAGGGATCAGGCCCTGCTTGGTAACTTTCATTTTGGCCACTTCTGTGAACAGGTAAGAAAGGTCAAAAGGAAACCTCTCCCAGCTATTTGCCTCTCCTTTATCTTTTTAGGTGCCAGAACTCTGTGTCACAGATGGCCTGGCTGTGTGCTGAGCAATGCAGCCCCCACAAAGCCTTTGGTTTCCCACAAGTTGCCATGCCTTGTTCCCAGGTGTGCCCAGCTCTGGCAGGAGAAAGAGCCTGCAGCGCCGTGCCCTGCCCAGCCGGGGCTCTCTGGCACAGAGCAGCAGCAGCGCCAGCACCTCTCAATCCGCTCTTTCCTTATCTTCTCCTGGGACACAGAAGCCTCTGGAAATCAGCACCACCAGTCGTGTTCCCAGCTCGGAGCAGCTCCTGCTGGTGGGCAGGTGCTGCCAGTTTGACTGCTTCCAAAGGGGAATAAAGGCAGAGATGTACATCCTCAGGAGCCCTGGGCGTATCCAATAAACGTGCAGATATGTGGGAGATTTGTTAGGAATTGTTTCAGCTGTTATGCCAACAGTGCCTTCTCTCCTGGTTCTGTGTGCTATAGATGAGTAATGTAACAGTTGGCTCTCACTGTTAAGAGGTAGATATTATGTGGATATAAAAATGTATAGTGATGTTATTGTAATATAGGCTCCCATAGTCCTATTTCCCCTCCCCCTTGCAATAGCCTTGGTAGTCAGGGCTTTTGGGGAGGGCCGGCTTGTGACCAGGAGGTGTGGTGTAACAACACCTGACCTCCAGTCAGGAGGTAAGAAAGGAATCTCCACCAGTGGATGGCAAAACTTTGGCAAAACTTTGGCGGGATGAAGGGTATAAAAGGCAGAGCAACCATTTGATAGATGAGCTGCTCTATGTAATGTTCACAGAGACTCCCAGTGCTGCGAGTTTTCCTTATTCAGTCCTTTGTTAAGATTTAATAAACTTTTAAATTTTTAAAAGTGAGGGTTGTGTCTCAGATGTGCAATGCTTTGGGCCATATTCTTGGTCTGGTTTCCTTAGCTTGGTTCCCATCTGAGTGCTCAGTTCGGGTACAGGCTGTAGGTGCTTGGTGCACTCCTGGAGTTACTCTTGGATCCCTTGAACAACAGGGTTTGGCCCACGAGGGGAATTTGTGCTGCTTTGTGACAGAGGAGAACTTCCCCAGCTATTTTGCGTTTGCTGTAGGGAAGGTTGGTTATTGCTCTGCCTAAATTCACAGGCCAATATAGAGTGCTTGCATTGTGATGTCAGGGCATGGTTGCCATGTGGTCATGGTGGCATCAGAAGGTTGTCTTGGTGCACGGAAGGCCTCAGTGTCAGAGCAGCTCTAGGGCTCGCTCAGGGCAGGAGCATCCTCCTGCTTGAGGCGTTTGTCAGTGGGAGCTGCCCACAGACAAGAGCCTTGATTTTTCTGATGGTGGAGCAAATCTGCACAGCAGTGCTACAATGATTGAGAAGGTTGTTGCTGTAGCTATTGGAGCTTACGGCGTTTTTTATTCCAGCTATTACCTCACTAACCTGACACGTAAGTTGAGGTTTTCCGTGGGTGTACCCGAACGTGGCTTTTGTATGTCTTCCTGCTCTTTCTTAGTGCTTGAGTTATTTTGAAACAGAAAGAGCACTAGGGTGCCACTGGTTTGGTAAAGCTCCTGTCAAGGAGTTCAGCTACAAGGGGATTTCTGTAGCCACAGGGCAGCATTTGCAAGGGAACCTGCAGGGGTTCTGTTCCCTCCACAGGAGAGTCTGAGGCAGCAGAGTCTGTCATTTCCTCAGTTTGCTGGGACAAGCAAGACAGCTTTGAAAATTTAAACTGGAGACCTTCTTGGAAGGCCTTCTAATAACTCTGCAGTATTTCCCAGAATTCAGGGAAAGCTTCTTTCTTTCTACATTTTGTCATGAAAGGATTTGACTGTCTAACTTGACCCTTGACTGAGTGTTAAAATAATGATTCCCTTTGCAAGGAAGTGCAAACTCCAAAGCAGTGAGTGTCTGCTCCTGGACCCTGGAGCTGCTGCTGTGCTGTGTCACAATAGAGCTGCCACATCATAGTGGAATTTTGGGGCAGCTTTTCTGGGCAACTGTTTCCAGCAAGTTAATGAGAAATTGTGCATGCAACTGATTAAAAAAAAAAAAACAAATGTACTGTAAGGAGAGGATTTTAAAAAGATGTGTTATGTGTTTGGTAGAACAGGAGCATTGAGTGTTAGAGAACAATTTGCATTTTCTTGGTCATGTTTGTATCCATTTAATGGCTAAACAGGCCAAAGGGTAGGCATGCCCAAGACTATTATCTGGATCTCTTTGCTGGTTGTGTGAATGAAATGTGTCTCCTGGAGGGATGTTGTGAAACGGAAAATACTCTCTGTTTGCGGTGCTGGTCTGTGGGATTCACCAGCCCAGGCAATTTTCTCACAGCGTCTGGTTTGTTTTCCCTTGCCCACTACAGGTCACCTGATGCATGTAATCAGCGGTGCTGGTCCTAAGGTGAGTGAGAAAGGAACATTTCATGTTTGTGCTGTTTAGC